AAATTCCATTCATTCACAATTTCAGAACTTGGAAAATACTCCAGAGATTATTCTCTGTAATTTGTTTTAGTAATGAGTTTATATGCCTGGATTCATTAACCAAAAACACTGTAGAATTTCCCAGAGCAATAAATATRGAACTCAGATAAGCTATTAAAAAAGAAGAAACATTTAAAAGTAAAAATATTTTGTAGATAATTGTTAATTCTGTTTTCATCAATCATAAATCAAACCATTTGCTATAGATTTTCAGTTTTCAAAATTAAACTTTAGTCTAATAAATGGAACTTATTTTGTTTTATGACAGTATAAGAAAAATAATGGGTGTTTTCCAGTTCACAGCCACAACACTAACAAACCTGCCCACTCATGGGGGCCAGTCTTTGAGTGACTCTTCCATGTTACTGACACAATGATTCATTTTAACAGGTCTATTCAAGTGCTTTCAAAAAAAGTTATATATATATATATATATATATATATATATATATATATATACACACACATATATATGCACACATATGTATATATATGGTATATATATTTCTTGTTTATTCAATTTCTATGACTTAAAATTGTACAATGAAATGCTACAAGAAAAGTTCAAGGTTATAAACAGTCTAACTTAAAAAAGGATTGAGCTAAAATAGCAGTGAATTTTGTTTTCAGATAAAGGCTATTATTTAGAGATACTAATCTCTCTCCAACCAATGAGATCTGTGATTCCATATCAACACCTACATTGATGCAAAACAAYTTATTAGTGAGTTCTTCAACAAAGAACAGGCAAATTACTTCTAAAGATGCTGGATTATTTGAGAACTATTTTTAAAAAGCAATAGCTTTGTTTCTACATTTTTTTAGTGAAAAAGAATCATCAACATCTGCTACACTAGTTAAGGTTAATTTTATCCACTCTTTTTCTTTCTTTCTTATTTCTTTTCYTTTTTTTTTCAATGTAAAAGAAAAGCAACATGGGTTAATCCCGTATTCCAGAGTTGTTATCTATTAATTCCTTTTCTTCCACCTTTGAAAACCTATCCACTCTACAAAGACAGATTCAAAATCTTCCTTGTTTGACATTTCATTTCTGTAAAGGTCCTACCCTTCACAGAAGTCTCTAGTATTTAAATATAACATTTGGATATGAGAACTTCCGTATATGGCATTGTTACACTTATGCTAATCATGATGACCTGGACTCATTGTATGTTTCTTAAATTCATATTTTATTGTCCCTTTTAAGCTTCTACTTTCTTCACCAAGGAGTACCATACTACAAATACTGGTTTATAAATGAACATGTACTCATCTTACTCTGGGGTCTGCTTTCTTTCCCTATACCCAGAGGCAGAGTGGCTACTAAAGGCAGTGATCCCTTTTTATATTGYTCATGTTGAAAAAYAGAATAAACACTCCAAATAAACTTTTGAGCTCACTRAGGCCATATACTACAGCAATTCATCTTACTAACAGTAAAAGATGGCATAGTACTTGAAACGTGGTAGGTGCTGAATAAATACACTGAATTACATTGAAGCTTTTTCATTATTGCATAGAAGATGAAATAACTCAGATGATTCTGAAAACTCGAGTTATTTCAAGTTTTGTTTAATTACAAGGGCATAATTCTGTCTTCTTCCAAGATACATCCAATTATAAATGATTAAATAAATATAACTAAAACCCTAATCACAAAAGACACTTATAATAACAACTTTTCTTACCAGATAGACTTGATTTTGTTACTAATTATTAGTGTTTCAAGCAGCTTCTACTAAGTCCAAATCTACTTTGTTATCTGAATTCAAATGACTGAAGTCTAGAAATATATAAAGAAATGCAACTTTGAAATAACTTCCAACAAATATCCCACATTATTGACAGTTTATGCAAAGATAAAGGACAGAATATTTTCAAATTGCATTTTCATTGCAATGAAAAACAACAAAAAAAGAAACAAATATCATATGATGACTGACATAGTAATCCAGTCATAGTCACTTTGTAACTTTTAATTTCCAATCCAAGTTAATAAAAAGTTAGCATAGATTCCTGTCAAAATATATAATGGTCTAGGAGCATAGCATTGACARTAAAGTAATTAAAATTTTTTAAAATATTTTTTTAGTGGTAGATGGACACATACTTTTATTTTGTTTATTTTTATTTGGTGCCAGGGATCAAACCTAGTGCCTCACACATGCTAAGCAGGTACTCTACCACTGAACCACAACCCCAGTCCCAAGTAATTTAAAATTCTAAATATAATAGTTTAGAGCATTTCTCTCTATTTTATATATATAAACTTCCAGAGTGTATGTGTATGTATGTATGTATGTGTGTGTGTGTGTGTGTGTGTATATATATATGAAATTTCAGATTCAATGTGAAAAGTGATCAATTAAAAGTAACAAATTTGCAAGTCATGAGTATAGAAACCAACAAGCTTTGTAATTTAAATTTTTCAGTGTTTCCTTTCTTCAAATTAAATAAAAAACATRTTCAGTCACATATGCAGTACTCTCCAAAAAAAAAAAACAGATAAATGCAGGACAACTGCAGGGTGTCATAAGTTCAACGTGCTCTATAAATATTTTCTCTCAAAATAACTCTTATTCATATTACATAAATGGTCAATGATTTGAGTCTGTTATAGTATATACACTTCCTTGTTCAAACCTAAGATGATGATGTCCACACAAAAGCGGTTGACAAGCAAAATGCATCATTTATCRTGCATAAATTTCAGTTTCATGCTGAGATTTTTAGCGGAATAGACCCTGAGAGCCAATAAAAACTTCCAAAATATCAAATGAAAATTTTATCTTCAGATCTCTCAGTTTACTTCATCTGCTTGGTTATGCATTACCTATGAGTTTATATTCCTTTATGAACTACCTATTTGTTTCCCTTAAAAGAGCCTCAATTAAATGAAGACTCATTTACTTGGTTACATCTTTGTGATTCTACCCAAGAACCAGAGAGACCTTAAAAGTTTCTCTGTATCTACTTGGTCTCCAAATGTCTATAGAATAGTGATGCCAAGCAGAACCATGGCCACATGTAGTTGCTTGTCATTTATTCTGTCCAAAATAGTGAGTGGACTGGCAAATCATAACAAAAGATGCAGATGCAGAATTTTGACCCTCTTTCTCTCAATTTCAGCTTGGAGAAGACAAGTTACTACGCTGCTGTAAGTTTCCCATATATGCCCCACTTTAGAAAACTGAACAATTATTAAGCATAATTGTGATAAAAAGAAACGTGCCCAATTTGTTCATTTTTAAAAATGATATAATGTTGTGAATGAAAGTACAACCTGCCTAACATGTCAAGTAAAAGGATAACAAAAGAAATGAACGGCATCYTTCGACTTGCATTTGGATGCATAACCCCTCCATCTGTCAAGCAGTTGTGAAGCAATCACCCTGGAGAAGCACTGCAACCGGGAACAAGTTTTATGCCCGCATCTTTGTCAACCGCTCTCAGGACCTTAGTAGTAATTGTTCTGTTTTAAGAGCCTATAGGAATGAATTCGCCATTTGCAAAACAGACCCTGGCAAGGGATGGGCCATTTCAACAGACCTAAATCTTATCGTGGGGCTCAGTTCACGGAGGTAATAGGAGAAGGAAGGAGTGACTCTTTTCTCAAATGTGGATTGGAAATTAAGGGAGAATGATCTCTAGAGGCCAACTATACAAAACAACCCTCAATTTCCTTCCCCTTAGCTTCAAAAACAGAATTACACTTTGGGGTATAGACTATGAACGCCCCACCCCTTCTCWTTCCGCCCGCGGCCACCACCACCTTCAAAGTTAAAGTCAGCGCTCGCGCAACTGGGGCTGCGGGCTCCCTCACCAAGAATTCCACCAGGAGCCCATTCAGTGGGGGAACAGCGCTCTGGGATTCTGCCACCAGCTCTGCGACGCCACCAGCAGCCAGGCCATCTCTTATTAGACCTCACCCCTCCCAGCCCCGCCCTCGGCCCYGCCCGGAGCCAGCACCAGAGTTAATCTCAACCCCAACGTCCCCACTCCTTTCAATCCAGATCACTAGCCAGGAGGTGGGGGTGTTCGAAGGGGGCAGAAGTGGGGTGGGGGAGGTGAAAAATCAAAACAGTCCCAGTTCCTGGTAGTCAGGACGCAAGTGGCAAGACCCCAGCACGCGCGCGACAGGCGCGCGCGCATACACACACACACACACACACACACACACACACACACACACTCACTTGCTCGCGCGCGCCCCATTCCCCAGGTTCAATGCCTAGTGGCGACAGGATGAAAGGAAGGAGGTAAGGAAGGACAGATGGGATGGAGAGAAGGCCCGGAGTTACTGTGTGAGTGACATTCACAGACAGCAAGCCATTCTTAAGGAATTATGAAAGTGAGAACGTCCCAGATCCCTTCATATCCCYAAAGCTGGATTCTCCTGATAGTGGCCCCGATCGCTTTCTTTCTAGCGGGGCTCTGGGAGGCGGGGAGGAGAGCCAAAGCCAAGTTTCCCCACACTGCCCTCCCGGGCTTGGCCCAGGGCCCAGAGCCCGGCCCCCCTTCAGCCCCGGCTTAGGGAGGCTGCCAGGCGGGTAACAGACGTGCCAAGGGACTCTGGAAGAGCACGACAGCAGAAGAGGGGGCATCTTGCACGCTCTGGCCGGGTTGCTCATGCCTTCTTCTGCTGACACACCCCCAGTTAACCCCTTCCTCCGACTCTATACACACTCACATACAGAGAWACGCTCTTGCGTTTATCCTCCCACCATTCCAGGTCCATCGATTAAAACACTAGTTGATTTTCTTTCTGATTAAAAAAAAAAAAAAAAAAAAGTGGAACAACAACTCTTCTTGAGAGTCGCCGAAGCAGAGAAAGTCCGTCTGCAGGCAGATTTCTGTAGTTACCTAGGAGTTTGGAAATCAGGAGGTCCCAAGCAAAAATGGGACCCAGAACCCCGAGGGGATCTAGGCGGCGAACTCGCTCCCCACCCGGACCCTCTCACCTCCTTAAGTTCTTTGGCCACGTCCTTCAGGTCGCCCAGGACTAATTCCAGATCCTCCACGATGATCTTGATTTGTTCCTTCACCTTGGTTTTGGAGGCTGCCGGCTGTCCCTCGGCTGGAGAGGACGAGGAGGGGTTCCCCTTGGACTTGGCTGACATTCTTTGGGGGCAAGCGACGCAGGTCAGGACAGGCGGGCGAGCCAAGGCTGCTGCGCGCCCCCGTCTCTGGAGCTGCTACAGCCGCTTCCACTCCAGTCCCCCCACATCTTGGGCGCTCCCTGGGCAGCGGCGGATGGCTGCGCTCCGCGATCGGCCAGGCGTCCGCACTGTGGTGCTGCCATCAACTCCCGAGACGCGGCGCTCGGCGCGGGGCTGCAGACGGGCGAGCAGCGCGCCTGCGCCTCCTCCTGCCGCCKCCCGCAGCTCTCGCGCACACACGCGCTACCTCCCCACGGGTGGAGAGGGGCTCTGGGCTGTGCCAAGGTCTGTCAGCGGCAGTCCCCGCCGCACTTCAACTTCCTTCTGGGGTCTCTCCCCAACCCCCTTGGCATCAAGGTTCCGGGAGACATCGCGTTCTACCCGCCCCCTCGTCTGGATCCTGAAATGCCCCCATCATCGCAGCCTGCTATGAATCTTCTCACATGTAGGCAGTATTCTTTCTGCTTCACCCGCCAGGACAGACCTGTATCAATTTAGAAAGAACCACAATAAGATTAGGAGTTGGAGTTCGGGTCAGTAAAGAGATCCTAAATAATTATTCAGAACCAAATAATGCCCAGAGAAGTCCGATCTTTTACCKAGTGACCTGCAAGTTAAACATACTTCTGCAGGAGAGAAGTGCGGGAGGCATAAAGCGACCCCTCCTCACTCCCTGGAAYCATGACATTTAACAAGTATTCGTCAAAGAGGTAGCCAAACGCTGCCGATTCCGCAGAACTAATAGAGGATTTATGAATTTTAAGTCCCATACACAAAATAAAATTCCCCTGAGACTGTCTGAGTCATCTTGGTTGTATTTCTTAACTTCTTATAGGTGCCAGCATTTTGTGTGTGGGGGAGGGAAGGGGGATCTGTCTCTTTTTATTACCTATGTGATGTATGCTTTGGGAGTGGGGTCCTATTTGGATTTCTTGTGGGARTTAAATTTAAGAATTTGCCTCCAACTTCTCCTCTATCAATGTTTTTACCTCTATTTCAAATCTTGTGGTATGAAACAAATAGGAAATAGCTTTCTGACTTGTTCTGTCAAAATGACCCAGGGAGGCTAGTTAATAGGAAGCTTTCAGTTTATTCTCAGTAGGTGGCCACCATTCTCATTAGCTAGAGTTTTAATTTCCTTAGTAGCAAACTCATGGGCTATTAGCTACTGACCTGGCAGGCTGGTTCTACTTTATTTTCTTGAGTGCACACTCCTCCAGATCATTCTTTCAGRCTTCTCATTTTGGTCAGTCTTAAGCAGGGCTCTGTCTCTCGCTTTTAACAAGCCAAGTAGCCTGAACATGCTCCTAATTATGAAAAAAAAAAAAAAWGTCTTGTCAGCTCTCTTCTTCTCAGTTACTGAGTCTCCTAATAATCAATCACACTATTCAATATGAACTCATCTTCACAAAGTCTTTGAAATTTTATTTAGAATATGAAGGAAATTAAAAGAAAAATAGAAATTTAGAAACAATGGAAAAAGAAGAAAGGTGGAAAGTAGATAATATTAAAATAGAATTGAAATAACAAAAGAATAATAGAGCCAGTGTGAAGTAAGCTAATTGGAAAGGARGAAAGAGATATTTGGGTGTGTTAAAAAAGCAATATGCCTGAGTTCTCTAATGTAAAGTGAATAAGTTTTCTTTAACTTTCTGTATTTCCTTGGGTTCTTTATAAAGATGTTTTTATAAATTTATAAAGATGTTCTTTATAAATCTGTTCTCCTATGATATCCAGTACTAATAATGAACCAAATTGCTCTGGCTCAAAATCAAATCATCAATATTACACTAAAAGACAACATTCACACCTAATTACAGTTTATTCTTGACTGATGTTTATCATCTATCTATATCTACATACACTATCAAGTYAATTGAAAGGAAAAATCAAAATTGGCATCTAGGCCCAAACTGAGGAAGCTAGTAGAATTTCAGCAATGGTATCTGCATCTACCATGATCTTACAGTCAGTAAAGATTGCTTAAAGTTAGCCTACATAAAAAACAAAAAATTTATAGATACAATTATAAGAAGAGTCAAAACATCAAAGAAAATATGGTTGGAATAAAAAGGGTACATGAATATAATTAAATATATCTTCTCCTTCTTTTTGTATTGCCCTTATAGAAAAATCTTTCATTCCTTTAGTTCATCCTAGTTTTGCTAGACATCAGTATATATTTGTTGTTTTAGAGTCAAATTGTAGRAACCACATAGCAAAAGTGACACCTAATAAAATTTCTAATGAATTTCTCCATAAATGTGGTTATGAACTAGTGGTAGCTACAAATGAATATACACCCAAACCACATTATAAACTGAGACAGGATAACAGATTTCTAAATGAAGGAAATTACTTATTTAGTGAAGTAATTGTTTACTCTGAATTTTATTCTTTCTATTTATTTATCAGTTCCAAATTTTGTATAGGAAGAACTGGATAATTAAAAAAGATTATCTAGTAGTTGTTTCTTCTGTTGCAAACCCTTATTGATWTTCTCAAATTTGTGTGTAATCCATTACCATTGATCCCTAAGAATTAACCTTCAGAAGAAAATCTGGTCACAATGATGCAATTTTAAAATCAAAATGAGCAAAAAAATATCCCCCCCAACTTCCTCTCATTTTTTTTGGCACTGACTGTTACTAATATATTATCAAAATATCTCTCATTGATTCTGAAAAGAATGATCTGTATAACACAAAATGACTCTTACTGGAGACTTTCTCTTTTACATGAACTTATTTTTGTTTCTAAGATCCAATAAAGTCATTAAATGTATATGAAAACATGAAGAATAAAAAAAAAAGCTTTTGTTTTGATCATAATAATTTTTCCCTAAGGGTGTGGAAGTRGGGAATTTAAAGACATGGAAGTCTATGAGAGAACAAACTCTTGGTGATTTGAGAGATTAGAAAAGTTCTGCACATATACATTGACTATTAAATGTACTGAAGATATCCTTGCAGTSCTTTTCAAACTCAGTATATATCAGATCTTCCTCAAAACAGATTCTTGGTCCCCWTTCCCATGGCGTCTGATTGATTCAGTGGGCCTGGGGTTGAGTTTGAAATTTGCACACCATCAAGTTTCCAGACTGCTGGTAGGCAACCACACTTTGAAAATTATTGGTTTGGGAGAGTAAAACCTAAGTCTCTCTTTAGCTAGAATAAGCTTTTTGGATCACATAAGCAAATGTGTTTATGTTATAGATGAGAAAACCAATACTTTGGGAGGTTAAATGGCATAGCTAATGTTGACATCTAGAGCACAACAGATGGAGAGTTAGTACCACAGTGAAAATTAGAACCCACATTTTGCTGAATTATTTTCATTTATGTGGGGAGCATTTCCTTTTTATATATCAACTGCTATAGGCAAAATAGGTATATAGTATAGATACACATTGGTAAAAATATAATAAATGTGGTCTGAAATTTGAAATACAAATATTAGTTGTAGTATCCTAAGTAAATAGAGCTGTATCTTATAAAGAATAGCTACTCAATAAATATTTGGGAAAAAAATGAGTGAATGAAATGTTTTCTCTCTGTGTTTTGAAATCAATTCAACTCAACAAATATTTGCAGATGGATACTCTGGGCAAGAATTTATGCTAGGGAGTAGATATGCCACTAGGTCTAGCAAGACATTGTCCCAGCAAGAACAAAAAGATAATTCCAAATATTTTTAGTATAAAGTGATTTCCTCAGAGTATCTCTTCCTACCCTCTTTCCCRACTCTAGTCAGTTCATTTTACTGAATCTCTGCTACATAAGGCTGAATGTTTTTCTCTCCCCAAACTTATTAAGTTGAATCTTAGTCTCAACGGTGATGGCATTAGGAGGTGGGGCTTTTGGAAAGTGATTAGGTCCTGAGCTAGGAGACTTCACAAATGGATTACTGAGGTTATAGAAGAGACCCTGGGGAACTCGCTCTCCACTTTCATAATTTAAGGTTACAGTGAGAAGACCTCCTTCTAGGAGAAGCCAAGTCCACACTAGACACCAGGTCTTCCAGCACCTTGATCTTGGACTTTCAGCCCCCATTCCTGTGAGAAACAAGTTTCTGTTGTTATAAGCCCATAGTGTTTTGTTTTAGCCAAATAGACTAAAACAACCTTCACTGTATGTTAGTTGTGAGGCTTTTATCCATGTGACAGAAACCAAACTTTTGCTCCAATCAACAAAAAATGTAAGGATAGAAATAATTACATGTAGGACTGGAGCCAGAAACCTAGGACTATTAGAGTATTATTTTCTCTATAAATCTCATTCCTCCTTTTGTGGAATAAGCCATTGATTCCCAGTTGAACCTCAATTACTGGTAAGTTGAGGCTTATATCTTCACAACTTTGCAACTAAAAGTGGACTGTGTCTGCAGGGTGTAAAACTGCTGTTAAAGTTGTACCTTTCTTTCAATAGAAAARCCATACATTGATATACCATCGTTTCCCAGCAGGTGGCAGTGAAATGAGTTAGTCTATCCAAATCTGTATATTATGATAATTTTCTGAGGGATGGAAAGAAAAAAAATTTTTAAGGAATCAGCATTATTTTCAATATTTTACAGAGAAGCAGTGGTCCTCTTTGGGCCAGTGATTCCTACTTGGATGAAACTGCCACCCATGTGGACAATTTACTCCTCAAAAGAAGATGTATGCCACTGAGAAAATAAAAACATTACATATTCACCATGTAACCTTTAGATGGGAATCTATACCTTAATTTTATCTCATACTTTTAGATTGACATTTTAAAATTGTTTTGCTTCCCCAAACTGACTTCAATCATGTCCATTTGGCAATGAACAGTCTTCCTTAATTATTCATGCATCCAGGTAATTTTAGCAGATACTTGGAAGTTCCTATCCTTATTAAATTCCAGGTTTTTTTGTCTAGTGTAAATGAGTAAGAGTAGACCAGGATAAAGTGAGAGAGGACAGAATTTGGAACAGGCTGCACCACTTTGTCTGCTTGTTAGGTGGCCAYTTGTTATCCACTGTATGTAACCAAATACAGTACACAGTTTTAGTTCTTCGTCCAGGAATTGGGATAGAATGACTAGCCCAACTCTGCAGTCAAGGGAGTACTCAAGAGAGCATTCTAGGTGATGCTAAAGTATGAATCCTGAGATATC